AGCATCGTTTCGATGCTGCATCTCGGATGTCAGGCGGGCTGCGTGGAGTGGACCAGGAGGGGTGAGCGATCGGTTCGGATCCGACTGGGCGGACAATCGTCTATCACTCCCCGAATTGATACGCACTGGTGTCATTCTTTGACCTCCTCGCCTGTTCGTCAAGTGCAAGATTGCGTATCTTCCTTCGATTTGCATTTCCGAACCGCATTCCTTGTTCTGCCCTCTTACCCCGTGTTTTCTATTGGCCCATCCCGCTCGCCTTTCCCTCCTTAAGCCGCCGTCGCTCTCGCTCTCTTTCTTTGCATTCTTGATGCTTGCTGTGACACATGTGTGGACTATCTTCGTTGGTTCCATGGCCCTACATCCTGTCTTCAAGCCCTGGCGGGAGTATCTCCGGCGCTTGTTTCATTGGTCCGGTCGCATTCACAGTTGACGGTGGATCGAAGACACTCCTCCTGAAATCTTGTCGATTGATGGAAGCCCATGCTAAGAATGCTGCACAGTAGGCTCTTACATCACTGAAGAACTTGCGAACCGGCACGCCTCTCCTGCACGATCCGGCACAGCAAGGCGACCAGACAGAACCTGGCGCCAAACCATGCTGCATTGTCTGGTGAGTAATACGTGCTCCGGCTACGATTCCTGCTTGATGACCGCGAGGCCGTTGTTGATATTGACCATCATCCTTCCGTACATAAGGTACCTCGACACTTCTGATTTCCTCCTCTGCCGGTGACCACCTTCCTCCTTCTACCATTTGGCCTCTCTAGTCTGCTTTGCAATGTCCCTGTCGGGTGTATCCTGGAATCACTACTACCCCGTCAACCAACTTCCGACAGGACAGGAATCCGTTTCCGGACTTTTCCCTCAACATCCTCATTCAGCCGTCTTCTTCAACCACCACGGGGCTGCTCCCCATTCTAGGCGTCTCAATCACCCCACTCACAGCCACAGATCGTTCAACATGAACGCCTTATCTACCGACGAGATGGAGAAGTTCCAGAAACTCTCCAATGAGTTCCAGGCCAACGTTCAGGTGAGCTTGTCGAGGATAGCCTTATAGTCCCTTCGACCCCGGCTCATGGAGTAAACAGGGTCCCGCTGTTTCGACCAAATTATCGAGTAGCATGGTCGCCATGGAATATGCCAATGCCGATCCTGCCTTCATCACCAAGACTGCAGTCAGTTTGGGCCCTGCCGCTCTTGAGGATGATGCAGATGCTTAACTAGTATCTTAGGCACTTGCAGTAACACATCCCCTGGTACGCACTATGAAGGGAGACGGAAACTGCGGCTGGAGAGGTACTTGCCCATGCATGCCTGGAGCAACTTGTCCGCTAACTCCGTGCAGCGGTCGCGTTCGGGTATTTCGAGAACCTTCTCAAACTACAGAATCTGGTGCTCGCGCACGACGAACTGAACCGGATCAAATCGCTCAATGTGCTCCTGGATCGAACCGGCCAGCAGGAACATCTGTACGAGATCTTCGTCGACGCGACGGAAGGTGTCTTCCATCAAATCATTGAAGCAATCCAGAATGGCATCATTGACGACACGTTTCTGGTCGAGGCATTTAATGAGGAATACAATGCCAGCGCCATCATCACTCATTTTCGAGTCAGTCTTGTTCGTCTCGTCATTGAGTTCGTGCGACTGACGTATGACCACAGCTTCTCACGAGCGCATGGATGAAATTGAACGCCCTTCGCTACCAAGCTTTCCTGTCGCTGCCGGTGGATCAGTACTGTGCGACACGGATCGACACGGTGAGAACCGAGATTGATGAAGTCGGCCTGCAAGCGTTGGTCGATGGGGTGATTGAGGCATCCGGGTTTGCGGTGGAGATCCTCTATCTGGACCGCAGCGAAGGGGATGTCGTCACGCCCCACCTTCTCACCCCGAACCGGGTGACAGCGGCCACGATCTGCTTGCTGTACCGCCCGTGAGTCCGCGACTCTTGGCTGTCATGTTCAGGATGCTAACGCGCGACCAGGGGCCACTACGACCTTCTCTACGCGGTCGAACCTACTGTGAATATGGAACCCGTGGTCAATTATCAATACGCAATGACTTCTAACTACTCCCCCTGGGATCAAGGTGCACTCTCGTTCGACGTCAACTCCAGTTTGATGTCGATCCCTAATCTGATGATGGACCCGTCATTTGCACTTGCGCCGTCGCCCATGCCTTCGGCTTCGCCCAGTCCGTTCCGTGTCTCGCCGCCCCAGGAAGTGTATGCGCCATCACTTATGCACACATCACCGCCCCCTCCTCCGATTTCGCTGGCATCGCCCCCGCCCCTTCGGATGTCAGCCCCTCCAGCTCCGTTGTCATCGTTGCCTCGCAAATCGGATGGCCCTCAGATCCGACTGAATCCGCTGGTGATGAAACCGAACTTAAGTCATTCGCTACCTGTGACGACTCCGTTCAAAAAGTAGTATGATCCTTGTTCTGCTGCACTTTCGACAATAGCGATGCTAATGAATGGTTAGTTCTCCGTATAACCAAGCGCATTTCCAGAACCAGGATTTCGAGCCCATCCACTGGGAGCCCGCCGACCATCGGAAGTAGGGCCGTGTGAAGTTCCCCCTCCCCTGTTATTCTATCCAACTACGATCGTTACGACTGAATATATGTTCTTTTTTTTTACTACACATTCAATACACTACTAGGCTTATTTCGGGCAATGGACTGGGTGTTTTTGCTTTTGCTTTTGCTCCTCTTTTTTTTTTTTTTTTTTTTTTTGTGACCTTGTCCCCTTGGGACCATTTTCAGTCTTGCAGGAATGCCTTTCGATGAATTCTAGCATTGGTGAAGTTAGGGGGTAAATGATTTGATTTGTACTAAGTACTAGTGGGATTCTCTTCGGCAGGATGTGCTTTAGCGTCTGTGGTCTGTGGTTGCATGGAGGCGAAGCGTGGTGCAGTGACTCAAGAAAAAGAAAACCAACCCAACCAAAAAGGAATGAACCAATCGTTGAGAGGCCACTTATCATGTAGCCAGGAATTCCGGCATTCAACAGCCGGCACCTTCGATTGGTATGCTCGGTAGTAAGTATACATGAGGTGGTATAGCCGTCCGGTGGCTTCGGTTCCGGAGACGCAGGACGCGTTCTCGTTGGTCGCAATGGAAATGAATTCCAGCTCGACCAGTGACACGACCGGTGGCGGAGGCAAAAGGCCCCGGGGACCGTCGACAAGCCGTAAGGTAAGTTGGCAGAGGATCTCCGCGCAGGGATGGATGCAGTGGTCTTTTCCCCTTGCAGGTGGCTGACACGGCGCGGGCCACTGAGAAGAATGGATGGTGAAGACTGTTGACTAGAGGACGGCCGAGTGCCTGTACCTGTATATTGTGGCCGTTCAGATTGGCAAATTCACATGATTGGTCGGTCCGTACTGTACTTGCATGCTTGTTGATGTCATTGGTAATTTGTGTACTAGGTAACTTCGAGTATACTCTAGCTTGGAGTTGGACTACTGTGAAACTGGGGTTCATGGTGGCCAGCCAGCTACTCAGTAACCTATTTGTTGTATGAGTATGAGTATGAATATTCTAGGGCTGAGAAAGAAGGTACTGTACAGTACAGTACTATGTACGCATCCATCCATCCAACACATTCAAGCTGGAAGAGTGTCTAGTAGGCTACCACGGTAAGTTTCGGGTCATAGTTTCTACCTCTCTCCTCTTCGTCTCTGGCCATACACCCATTCAGTTTCTTGTCGACAAGGAAGAGGGAAGAAAGAAAGGGGTATACGCGGACAACTGGACGAACCAGTACTGCGCAGACTCGATCTGCTACTCTGTAGATTGTACATTCCAGTGGTCTGGTGGTGGTCTGAAGCCTCGATGGATCAAGAAGCGATGGCACGCGCATCTTTCGCTGAGGCTGGGGCTGAGGCGAGTTGCGTGGACATCAACCTGTCCTGCCCAAGCTTGCCCATCATTACTTTTAGGGAATGGGAATGGGTACTGGTTTATAATGGTGGTGTCTGAGGTTGATCGGACACACACACGGACACACGGACAACACACACACGTGTAGCCATTTCCTGCGGAATGATGTAAGGTGGGTTTTAGTTGATATTGCATATTCATAGGACTGGCGGCGTTGGGGGGGGGGGGGGGGGTACAAGTCGAAGTAAGGAGTCGGTGAGTGACTGTGGAGTTCGCATGGATTTCTAGGTCAAAGTCACCTTCCAGCTCCACTACCGGGTAAATACGGGGTAGGTACTGTACCTACTAGCCAGTACCTACTAGTCGAGTGGACTTGCCCAATTCTAACACCTCGGGTGGTGAGTACCGAGGGGATCTACGGGGGGTGATGTATGGGTATATGGGTGTGTTGGAGATGGGACTGCAATGTATGACTGTATGAGCTACCGCTGCGTCTACCGTCTCCTCTGTGATACGACTAGTGAGGGTTTATCCCTATTACTGTGTATGTGGTCTTATGGTAGGTCCTGCCTACGAAAGAGCTGGTTGCATGGTGTTTGTACACGTATGTTAAAAGATATCAACATAGAAGTTACCGTATATAGACAACTGTTTGCTCCGTATATCGCAACCCTGGATAGCTGTCTTGGTGTAGAGCATCGGAGCAGATCAAACCCTCCCTCCATTCATCCTTTCCGAGACATCCTCAGGCATCCGTCCTGAAATCTTCCTAATCGAGACAACCTCGTGACCTGCAGCAGCAGGCGAGAGAACGAAGAATGCAGGCCTGGGACCCGAGTCCAGAACCTGCGCAGAGAGCTCTGCACCGTTCTGACCGCTACCCTCTTCGGCCTATTCTTGGTGAGCAGGGGCATTGTCTTGCCGAGGTCCTCTTTTTTCATTCATCAGGCTATCCATTTCGCGCTGCCAATATCCCGACACTTCTTTCACTCTGGAGAATATGGCATTCAGGGTCCGATCGTTGTTCCGACAGAATAGAGCATTCGGCCGGCAGGAGATTCAATGGAGTTCATCGAGCCTGCGGTATGGTCATATAAAGTATCGCTACGGATACCTCAGTGCGATTGGCTGGTGACACCGGCTGAGGCTCTCGTTGTTCCTTCGGAGAAAACTGCGATTGAGTCACTTCCAATACACTCGCCATCACGAAGATCATAGCAAATGACGAGTCTCTCAGCCACTTGTGATACTCTGGTTCGAAGCCGCTTGGAGCTTATGTTCGAGAACCTGGTCAAACAAAATCGTGCTGTGGTGCAAAGTTCACCCATTCCGTAAAATCCATGCCACTTAGATTCAACTCCTGGTCAACATCGGGAAACATACTGCCAAAAGTCGGATCAGTGAACAGTTGATCGTTGAATGGCATTACGATAGGGGGCGCCGGTCCCGCCGTTCGACCGGTCGCGGCACTCGTATACGCAGGCGAACACAGCCGGTTCACAACTTCCAGGCAGCGAACAGCAAGTCGATTGTTGCTGAGTGAAGGATGAATGAGTAGCTTCTTGGTGGCTTCTATGTCTTGGAGCCATGCAGGAGCGTCTGCACTAGTGGGATCAGTCATGAGCATGATAATCGGAATCAAGCCGGCCTGGAAGAGGAAGTATCTGTCGAATAAGTTAGTCAACCATAGGCAACCCCAAAAGCAGAGTTCGTAAACATACAGCATGTACCAGGCTCCAATTCTCGTGCAGACATGATTGTTCACAAAGTCGGTGATGGACGAAATGGAAAGTCTAGCATTTCGAAGACAGAGCTTCCGGCAGTCAACCTCGAAAGGATCTTCAGGCTCTGACGCTGTATTCTGCTGTGTCCATCTCCGTGATGCCCATCGGAGGAGTACCGGTCGGTAAAGAAGGATTCTCAAGTTCCAATCCCTCCACATCATGCGGTTGCGGACGAGCGCAAAAGTGTCCGATACCGGTAGAGGCGGTTGCTTGAAGTAGTCAGGAAGACCATTGTACCATTCCTCCATTGGCTTCTGGAGGCCCAAGGTTTCTTCCGCTGTGAGACTGGGTCCCGAGATGAGGCGTTGGTAGACGCTGTTTGTAAGTAAATGAAACCGAGCTTGGGCTATCAGCCCCGAATAGAGGGTTGGCTCCGTGACTTCGACGGGTAGCGTGGTGGTGGCGGGGGTGAGAGCCTGAAAAATGTTAACAACCAGACAAGAGCCGGGGCGATGATCTGTCTTCCTACCTCGTCGTGAATATTCAGGACGTGTTTTGCATCCATGACACTATCTTCAGGTAATAGAATGGGCCGGCCAAACGTCTTCGCCGCACCACTGTCGAATATGTATACTCCCCACCACAGGCGTCTCCTGATCTCACGCTGAAGAAGGCTGATTTTCCAGCCAGGAAATTCTTTGTGGAGACCCAGACTCATGGCCATTCTAACGGCCAGGCCTAAGAAGTTCCACCCAGTATTGGGCTTGTTTCGTTTCTGTGCATAGTTGCTCAAAAGCAGTAGCGCCTGCACCAGGGTAAGGTTTCCAGTCTCAAACACGGAGACCTGCTGTAAGTGGCCTCGTGCTTCTTGGTAGAAAGTGATATCTAGGTCGGAGTTGTCGTCGCCAATGCACCAAGCACCCAGCGCCAGAATGGTGTTCAGCAAGATCTGCCATGCTTGACCATGTGGCCGGGGCACTTGTTCATAGAACTGTGCTCTGAATGTACCCTCGTGAATGAAAGGGTAGCTTGCATGATAGTTGAGGAAGAATGCGTCCATAAACGCCTGCTCAACCAGACCAGAAGGGGCGGTGTTGAGCAATTGGGACTTCAAGGGGACGGCATAGTTCGTCTTGGACGTGCCAGCGGGGAAGTTGAGGTCAAAGCCATGTTTGAGCAATGTTCGGAGCGGAACGACGCTCGAAGAAGCACCTACTGATGGTTAGAATGATCGACCACACCTAGATCTAAACGAAACACACACCAAAGTAACCCGCTCCTTCTGGTTTGATAGATAAGGCTGCCATGCCGTCTGTCAGATCACCCACAGTGATCTTATTCTCCGCCCAATCGAAGCCGTCTGCCTGTTGCGGCAGTGCCTCAGGGGCTGGTTCGGCTCGATCGGCCTCAGCCTTGGCTGGAGTGGAGTGCCTGGATGACGATTTGGACGATGAACCTGGTTTAGGCGGCCCATCCTGGTCATACAAAAGGGAGCGAACCGTCGCATCCAGATCACCTCCCGGAAACAGCCTCCCTAGGGCTGTTTCGAACGCCTGTAAGCGATCTTCCACATAGGTCAAATGTCTATGTAGACCTTTATTAGAGGGTTTCGCAGCATGTGAGGAAAGCTAAACAGATGCTTACTGTCTGGTCAAGGGACTTCTGGTGACTTTAGGACTATAGTTACAGTCCTTGTGCAACTGCTTGCATTGTGCACATGTAGGTTTCTCCTTAGAGCACTATAGAGGCGTTAGCGTATCTCATGTTCCTGCTTCTGGACATCCAAAACTCCATAGATGACTGCTCACCCTGGACTTCCGTAAACGGCATTCATCGCACTGCAAACGAAGATCAGCTAACTAGGTCAGTTTACCTGCGATCTGCGACTCACGGCGTAAGAGTGAGAATCACGAGTGCTGGCCATGTTTAGAGCAAGACGATCATTCGATCTATTGAATCTCTAAATCTCGTGCTCGGTGGTAAGTATACCAAATTGATGTCATCTAAATCAGTAGGTCAGCAACTTGCTACATGGTATCAACCGGTGGAAGTCCGATGCCAGACTTGAATCGGCAACATATAAGAATGAATGAATACGATATTAAAGGAAGAATGTATTGTGAGAAGGGATATAATGCCAAATCCTAGCCAGGCCACAAGTTGGGACAAACAAAAAAGAGTGCTCACGATACAGGATGGCGCAGACACCGAAGACGGACTGGTGGGGTATCAGGAACAAAATGAGGTGGCGGAAGAACATAACAGGGCAATAACAGGGCCAAAACTCACGATCGGCACGGCGGCATTCAACGGTCCAGCCCTTTTTGTACGTCGGAGACAAGGCCGACCGTCCAAGTCCGTAGTACACGTAGTACAGGTCCAAATGAGGACGACAGGCCTTCGATAATAGAGAGGGGGGGGCGACGAGGGAAGCTGCAGCTGATGTGATGATTGATGCTAACTCTTAGAGAGGCTCGTGTGGGGGGGCAGCCAGTCAGGTGACACGCTGCGAAAGAAATTTATCGCCCTCGATTTTCAGGAATCCATTCCCAGTTTCCCTCGGTCAGCCTGAGATCCTCAGGCAGGAATGGCTGGACATCCACTCTTGCTCTTGTCTTCTTTTCGTCAGGGTGGAATGCAATTGATATCTACTCCGTAGACTGTTCCCCATGCATATAGCAAGAGAATATTAGCTTGTAGACCTCTCCATCAAGCACCTGACTGATTGATATGTTGATATGCACGAGCTAAAGTCAATAGAGTGGGTTCGAGGTACAGAATGCGGACCAGATGGTTACGATGCCAGTGGACGCTGCACCTCGTGAATCCGCGTCGTGTTATCTAGCTTGGTGGACAATCACCATGTGGAAGAAGCAGAAACTCTCGTTGGTGGGATGTTTCTGCAGGATCTCTTTAGTGGTCCGGTGCGGACTAAAACCGTGACAGCTCCCAAGGTAGCTATTAAGGCCAGAATATATAGTGCAGCCATGCGGAATCTTCAAGCATCTCCAAGACTGCCAAACCTACGAAAGTCGTAGCGCATATCTCACCTCATGTTAGTATGAAGGAAACCGAGAGAATGAGGCAGGTAGTTTCCAGCTGTTGCACCATAATACAAGGAAATAAGAAGTTGCTGGTCAAGGAGTAAATGCTCTGCCCGCGACAATGCAACTGCTATCAATCAGTCTTGGCACGGTCCTCCCGCCAATTGCAGACCCCACAGGAAATTCAATTTTATACAACGTCATTTGCAGCAACCTTCAGCATCCAAAAATTACTCCCGCGAAGCCTAGAAAAAGCATCTCACTTTGCAGCAAGAGGGCTTGACTCCAACTGCGCTCGCTCATCTCTACTTGCAGACTTCTACCCATTACCGAGCGACCTCCCCCCCTCCGAAGCGATACAGCCATGCCCACTCAACCGCCCCTCCCTCCCCTCCTGGCACCCTACGTATCGTCTTTACCCCCCTCATCTCTCATCGTTCTCTCCACCGTCCTCGGCGCTCAGGGCAATTGGCTCACCTTACGATATCTCTACGCCGCACTGAATGCATCACTCACCTCCGACGCTGCGCTAAGTTTCGGCAAAGGTCACAATGGGAAGAAACAAAAGGTGGTGCTCGTGAGCTTCCTGCGGGGTTGGGAATTTTGGCGCGCGGAAGCAAAAAGATTGGTATGTTTTTTTTACCCGGGAGCAACACCCCCAACCCAGCAAGAACCTCGAAGATCAGTGGAAAATCTCTTGTGCGGCATGAGGAAAGAATTCTAAAATGATAATACAAAATTTCCAGGGCTTGGATCTCGCCCGTCTCACAGACAAGCGCCAATTTGCCTTTGTCGATGGCTTATCCGAACTCTTCGCCGGTCCGCGCACGACGCCGACGCCGACCACCCCCCCCACCACCAACCAAACCACTCCTCCCTCCCTAGCACCCTTACCCCGCGGCGGCCCTGTTCCTCAGCGGACAATTCTTCCCGATCGATCCGCGCCAAGCCCCTTTCCCGCGCGAGGGCCTCAACCCGCGCGCGGGCCCGCGGTCGCCGCCCCAGCTCCGTTGGCTCCGGTGGCTCCGTCAGCTCCGCCAGCTGCGCCGGCTTCTCGAGAGGTCGGCCCAGTCAAGCGACTGCACCTTTCCGGAAAGGGGCCTGCAGCTCTTGACAGACTCGAGAAGGATATCGCGGCGGTGGTGGGGCATCTGAATGGGAGGGCGGCGGCTTCGGCGGAGGGAGAGGACGATTCCGAGGTGCTGTTAGTCCTCGACCAACCGGACCTGCTTCTAGCCGCGACGGGTCCCGGCAAGGAGATTGGAGCTACGGAGATGACTGAGTGGGTGATGGGCCTACAACAGGTACGTCTTCTCGATCGGCTGATTCAGGTTGTGATGATGATGATGATGATGATGATGATGCGTGCGCTAACCATGTTACGTTCTGGTGGGGATATAGTATGTCCATGCTACGGTCATGACCCTCGCGGCAGACTTGCCCTTGATACACAACGCCTCGGCGGCTGGGCATCAGATGCCAACGCCGCTGGAGACCGAACACGCCGCGTTTGCGATCGGTTCGGCCCACCGCGCGCATCTGGTGATGCAGTTGCGGGATCTGGATACGGGGGCCGCGCGGGATGTGAGTGGGGTTCTCAGGATAAGTAAAGGAGGCGCGTGGGGACAGAGCGACAACACCGATGCCAACGGGAATTGGGAAGAGAAGGAGGCTTTGTACTTCGTGCAAAGAGATGGTGGAGTCAGCGTCTTCGGACGCGGGGAGTAGGGGGTGCAGTGTCATTGGGACCAGGGTGGTTTGGGGGCGGAGGCGTTCGGGCGCATTCAATCAAAAAGCATAGAATGGTAGATTGATTTGTTTCGCAAATTGATAGGCAGTGCAGTGCAAGGATAGATACGTTTCGGTAAGCTTGGCAATCGGAACTTTAAGTAGACAGATCACATTGGATGAATGTCTCAACTCTGCGTCTGTCTCGACATGGGATATCCGGCAGCCATAAACAAGTCAAGGAAATTCATGCATTGCTTTCCCTTCTGCTTTTTTTTTTCTTCGTGAACAACACAGGACCCCCCACGGAAAGAGAGTCCGTTCTTTTCATTTGTCGTCAATATGTGCCATTTTTCTCTCTTTCTCTAGAACAGAAATGCTATGACGGCAAAAAAAAGTGAAAAGACCGTCCCACCACCAACTCCACGGGGGAAGCGCCTTTTTTTCGCCTTGCACTGAAACCGGTTCACTTCATATGCTCGGCCTTTGTCATACCAGCCCTCTCCAGCCTCCGAGAACGAAATCGCGACGTCGAACAATTAACTTAGTTGCTGCTCGAGGTGGCACCACGGGCACCCTTGGGGACACCGGTCTGGAAGCCGTTGTGGAAGCGGCGGTGGACCTCCTTGAGGTGGCGCATTCTGCCGGTACCGGTGGTCTTTCTGCGCTTGGCCTTCTCGCTCCAGTTGACTATATGAAATCATAGATTCGTAAGCCAACAGTCTCTCTCAAAAATACCAAAACATGATCTGTGATTCGGGGTGGTGGGTGGGGATCTTCCGGTGCTCGAGGAGGTTGGTTTTTGCTTCTCCCATTGTCGAATCAAGCACGCACGAAGGCCCGGTGTTGTGTCAAGGATAGGGTGGAGTAATCGGGGGAGAGTTCGTACACTTGCGAGTCTTAGCGGAGGGGTAACCGCAGTTGGCACAAGTCGACTTCTGGATGTGGAAGGAGCGTTTGCCTGTAGATATCCCAATGATGCGCAATCCGTTAGCCCATTTCCCATTGTCGTTCCCAGCAAATTCCCTTCAGTCATTCCCGGCACACGATCCCATCTCTTGGAAAATTTGATCATCCGTTGATCCGCAAAAATATTCCGCCGTGTCAAACAAAGGTATCGGAAGGTGTAATACTGACCACAACGCCTGCAGAGGGTGTGAGTCTTGTTGTGGCGCTTGCCAAAGCTGGAGGTACCCTTCGCTGTAATCGGTGTCAGTTGGCTGTCACATTTTGTCGCCGAGGGACCGGTCGGAAACGGTAGTATATCATGTTGGTAACGTACTCATCTTGAATTAGGGGAACTAAAAGTGAAGCAAAATAGTCAGCGAAAAAATGTCCGTCCAGCAGATATCCAAAAAACACGATTATCCGACAGAAATAACCTACCTGGCGATTCCGTTGAAGGGCTGGTTGTCGTTGTCGTCGTCGCTGGGCGTATCGAAAGTTGCGCTGGGATCTGGGGTGGTGTCGCTTAGCGAGTTGTGGTTTCCAGGGCTTGTGCCCTGGTCCCGTGATCCCGTGACTTTCCGCCTTCCTTGAAAGATGTCTTTTGTGTCACGTGCCGGGCTCTCGATCTTGTCGCGGCTCCACTTACTGTGCTATCCGGGTAGCTAACCCGAGACTGGACTAGCGCCCTACAACTTAGTTGTTTGTTTCCATCGATGGGTCATTTCCATGTCTTCCTCCTTGGTGATGGTCGGAATGGTCGTTGCATTCAAATACCATACAATCAATATATCGATATATCCACAATTTCGAAGAAGGGTATCTATATGCATTGCGCGATTCATGTCGCAAAACAGAGGCGCAGAGAAATATCTTGCCAAAAAGCCACTAAACCAGATCATCTTTCCCCATAAAAGCGGCCATAGGATCGTCCGCAGCAAGCCTGCTTCGTTTGTATGAATCGAGCTCTTCCTCCGTGATTCCTGACTGCACCTCAATCAAAGTTCTCTTCTTCGTCTTTGCGTTGGACACTTCTCCCGCCTTCTCCAAGCCCGCCTGATCAGGATTGGCGTGGTTCTCCTCAAGGTCACCAGACTGTTCGGTAGCGTCTTCGCCATCTCCTTCCGGTAGCATCAAGATCTGGTCTGCCTCTCGGAAAGCGCGCTTGCCGTCCTCACCAGTACAATAACTGTTCTTCACAGTAGAGAAACAGCAGGCATATCCCCATTCGAAGTTGTGCCACCAGCTTCCCCAAACGGAGGTATGGTTGTTGTTGAGGATATCTTCCGCGTACTTGGACTTTGCTGCTTTCTTGGGAGCGCCCTTGATGGCGCCAGTCTCGTCATATTCGATAAACCTTTCGTTCTCAACCACCATGGTTTCTCGTAGCGGAGTTGGGTCAAGATGTTCCTGACCACCGTATTTCTCCAAAAGAGCCTTGCGCTGAGCATCACGCTTGGCCACTGTCTCGGCCTCGGCTTTCTTGCGCATGATCTCGCCTGCTGTTGGATTCGCCTGCAGATGAATCTTCTGCGTACCCTTCTCTTGAGACTCCCAAGCATACCGCTGTGCCTTCTCGAATTCAGCAGCATCTCCGGAGGCCCGCACGAAGTTCTCCTCAGCCACCAGTGCTGCTGCCTGATCATCTTGGGCGCCCATGTCAACCATGCGCCGCGTCTTCGGATCGTATTTCGCGGAGTCCAGATCGAGGTTCAGCAGATATTTAGCGGTGTCTTCACGAATACGTAGGTTGCGAGTCGCGGTGCTTTGTTGTCGGCCCATATCAGACTCTTCTGCGTAGCGGGCTTCCTCTTCCGGGGCCTCCTCCTCCTCATCAAGCTCACCGTCTGTGAGCCCATTTTGCCTCTTCTCCCCTTCCTTGGTAAGTTTCTTGAGCTTCTCCAGCTCCTCATACTCCTGGACCACCTGGCGATATTCGCTGGCGTCATAGCCATTCCACCGGTCTCTCTTAGCGTCCCAACCCATGTTCACATCCTGTATAACTTCGTCGGCCTGGATGTCTTTCCCAGTCCACTTGGCACCGTGTTTCCGAGGTCGACTGAGGCACTCTTTCGTTTTGTGGGTCATGGCGCCGCAATTCTCACAGGCGCCTTTGCGGTACTTGGTAGCGGCTGGACCCGCGCGCTTGCCACGCTCATACCATTTCGACTGATCTGTCGTCGACTTCTGCAGACGTTGATGCTCAAGATAATCGTTGGTGGTATCGTCATCATCGACATAGAACGGTTTCTTGGAGATGAAAGACGGAATGTACTCGTTGCGTTCCTTCGACGCCACATCGGCTGGCTTTCGGGACATGGTGATGGAGTTGCGTGAGAGAGATGACCAGATGTGAAAAGGGAAACCTCTCAGTCCGGTACTGAACAGATGGAGGAGAAAGGAAAGCGGGGAAAGCACGGTACGGTCGCGCGACGACAGTGAGGCAAGTCGTTCGGCATTCTCGAAACGGCGGAATCCTTGGCGATCGTGGATGGTCTGGCTATCATCACGTGATCTGGCGTAGATCCGCGCCACTGGGCGCGTCACTTCCATGGTAATTCTCGACACGACCTCGGACTTTTGCTCGCAGCAGACGGCAAAAGGTCTCCAGAGACGCGCATTAGCAGTGCTATGAGCATCCGGATTTCTGACTACGATGTCCGTTACTGTCGTTGAATAGCTATGTTGGTGACGGCTTTGTGCCGTCTCAAAAGTACGCAATGGAACCCTTCCAAGTGCGCCTCAATTGCGTGGATCATTATCAGGCGGCCCCGTCGGATTTCGACCCTCCCCTGCTTTACAGGGATCCGACCTCGGGCAAGAATGATCGGGTTAAAGTCCCTATCATCAGGGTCTTTGGTGCAACGGAGACTGGCCAGAAGGTCTGCGTTCATGTCCATGGCGCATACCCTTATCTCTATGTTCAGTATGAAGGCGATCTAGATGAAGAGAAAGGTTTGTCCGCCACAATGGTTTCCTGACCCCGAGTACCCCCATGGCTAAGTGGCACTGTAGTAAGTGCCGCGACAAAACATCTCCATCTCTCTATCGACCGCGCACTAGCAGTGAGCTATAACCGAAACCCCAACGATAAGAAATTCGCCTTCGTCGCGCATATCACCTTGGTCAAGGGCGTGCCTTTCTACGGCTACCATGTTGGCTACAAGTTCTACTTCAAGGTTTACTTGACAAACCCGATCTACATGACCCGACTGGCCGATCTGCTGCTCCAGGGTGCGGTATTGAAACGACCTGTCCAGCCGTACGAGAGTCATCTGCAATACATCCCTCAGTGGATGTGCGATTACAGTTTGTACGGATGCGCTTATATGAAGTGTAGCAACGTCAAGTTTCGAATGCCCGTGCCGGAATATCTCGAGCTCACTAATTCGTCTCACCGCTGGCATGACCGTTCGATACTCCCTGAAGACTTGTCGGATCCCTCGGTCCTCCCTAAACAGAGCTACTGCCCGCTGGAAGTCGATATCTGCGTTCAGGACATCATGAACCGCTCTGACGTCAGTGAAAGGTCTATTCACCACGACTTTACCGAGTACTTGAAGCCGATGTCTTCCGATCAGCGACTGGTTCCGAGTATGGCTGGCCTTTGGCATGACGAAGAGCGCAGACGGAAGAAACGTCTCGGACTTGAGCCAGGCAGCAGTCCGTTTGTCGCCGAGGAGCTAGTTTCCTTATCGGTCGATCCGAGGAATACCTCGCAAGGTGGCTGGATCCACGAGGAAGAGTACAGGGAGATGACAATGCACACGATCAACGAGGAAAAGAGCCACTACGCTGGCGCCGATGTTAGCTTCGACAATTTCCTTACAGAAAACCCCCTCGCAAAGAATGTAAAGACCGCGCTTCAGAGCGTCGAGGATTTCTATCCTGGCAAGGAAGAGCTCACCAGAATCGAATTTCGTAGCGATAATGATTTGCAGCTGCCGGAGGAGTCCGATGTCGGTATCGGCGAGGAGGCATTTCTTCCTGCCAGGTCGGATGAGGAGTCGTATAATTCGGAAGAGGATGACATTTCGAGCCTGTTGCATGGCGAGACACATGAAGAAGGAATCAACACTTCAGAAGATTATTGGGTCGATGGCTTATTTGATGTCGCTGCCCACAACATCTTTGATGGTGAACCAGACCCTGGAGTCTCTGACCCAGATCATGATTTTGATTCTCAGGCAGAGCTTCTCGATCCGGAATACTCGAAGATCTTTGAACATACTACGTCAGCGCATGCCGACGGCTTGGAGGTTGAGCAAGACATTCTAGATGGCAAAACCCAAAGGAATAAACGCTTTTCGGATCACTATTCAAGCCGCGAACGTCCCCACAAACGTCAACGATTCTTCGAAGATGCTCTATCGCAACAGTTAGAAAGTCCGACAAAGCAGGTCTTGCGGCAGCATGCAGCCCATTTTCAGATCGACAGCTCAGATACTGAAGACATGCTAGACGAGCTATATGAGTTTGTGGAACATTTGCCGTCGCAGGAGAAATCGTCACAATCTACCATCCGCCCAAGCAAGGCACAGAGCAGGAGGATAAGCTTCCCTGTTGTGAAAGATCCCAATGACCCTATGACCGTCTTGCGATTTAGTCAGGACAGTAGCCTCTCTTCCAAAGGTTTGAGGGAAGTTGACGGCGTCAATGTGTCCGAGTCTAACGAAAACATCTCTTTCAAGACCAGTTTCAACGAATCATCATCGCAACTGCAGTCATCGGCTACTGAGACTAGGCCTGACCATGCAAATGCCCATTCAAATGCGCAGGCTTCGGAGAGAATGAACAGCATCTATGGCAGCTTCAATATACCCATGCAAACTCGTATTGGCGTATGGCGAAGAGCCTGTCCAAGCTCGAGCGAGGTCTCCTCAACCCTGTGTCATTTTGGATATCCATCTACTATCTACCAGAAAGCCCATTACAGTAACGAGAACGATGTGCCCGACCGGCCAAGGGATTATGCAGGGAGAGAGTTCCGTTTGGAAGGAGTTGGTATAAAATTTCTTCCCAGATTTGATCCTCTAGGACGGTCTGTGGCGATGCTAGGCGACGATAATGTTGTGTCAAAAGACAAACGCTCTCAGGAGAAGACTGATCAACTGCTGCGCGAATCGTGCACCTTGAGAGAGTGGGAGTTTGCCCCTGTACCGCCCAGTCGCTCAGAGGTCATAGAGTGGTTTGAGAAACTCGAAGAAGAGGCCAAGAAAGATCCGGCAAAACCGCAGGCCTTCCCACGCGAGCGAGTCCAAGCGAACGTCATGTCGCAGATCGAAGGTCCTACGCAGAAGAACGATTATGGTTACAAATACTCCCAAAAAGGCAAATCCACCAGCGTGGAGCATCAAACGCAGTATATGAGCATGATGAGTCTAGAATTACATGTGAACACTCGCGGAGAGCTGGCACCAAACCCCGAGGAAGATGAGATTAGCTGCGTTTTCTGGTGCTTGAACTCGGGCGACGAAGATGTTGACGCCAACGGTACTTTGCCGGGTGTTCATGTGGGGATGATTTCCCAGAGCGAAGAGGATAGGCCTGATGCGAAGCTCTCCAAGGCCCTGAGGATCGAATGGGACCATGAACCGTCGGAACTTGATTTGATCAACCGAGTTGTGGACATTGTCCGGTATCATGATCCAGATCTCATCACGGGCTACGAGGTCCACAACAGCTCCTGGGGCTATATCATTGAGCGAGCTAGGAAGAAGTACGACTTCGACATCTGCGACGAGCTGTCCCGCGTCATATCACAAGCCCATGGAAGATTTGGCAAGGATGCTGATCGATGGGGGTTCAACCACACGTCTTCAATCCGGGTCACTGGGAGACACATGATCAACATATGGCGAGCGATGAGGAGCGAGCTCAACCTATTGCAGTATACCATGGAGAATGTCGTTTTCCATCTGCTGCACCGCCGAATCCCACACTACTCCTTCCGGGATCTAACAGCGTGGTATCAGAGCGGGAAACCGCGTGACTTGATGAAAGTGGTCAATTACTTTGTCTCGCGGGTTCAGATGGACCTTGAGATACTGGACTCCAACGAACTCATCGCCAGGACCAGTGAGCAAGCACGGCTCCTGGGCATTGACTTTTTCTCTGTGTTCTCACGGGGCTCGCAGTTCAAGGTCGAGTCCCTCATGTTCCGCATTGCCAAGGCAGAGAACTTCATGCTCGTGTCGCCCAGTAGGAAGCAAGTCGGTCAACAGAACGCCCTCGAATGCCTCCCGTTGGTCATGGAACCGCAGAGTGATTTCTACACTAGCCCGCTCATCGTACTTGATTTCCAGTCGCTCTACCCCAGCATCATGATTGCATACAACTACTGCTACTCCACATTCCTCGGTCGCGCACGGCAATGGCGAGGCCGCAACAAGATGGGATTCATGGACTACGAACGGCAGCCACAGCTGCTTGAACTCCTCAAGGACAAGATCAACATCGCACCCAACGGCATGATCTACGCCAAGCCGGAAGTGCGCAAGTCCCTCCTGGCGCGCATGCTGGCCGAAATCCTGGAGACGCGGGTCATGGTCAAGACGGGGCTGAAAGCCGACAAGGACGACAAGACGCTGCAGCGCCTGCTCAACAACCGACAGCTGGCGCTCAAACTCATCGCCAACGTCACGTACGGGTACACGTCGGCGTCCTTCTCGGGGCGGATGCCGTGCTCCGAGATCGCGGACAGCATTGTGCAATCGGGCCGCGAGACGCTCGAGAAGGCGATCGCGTTCATCCACTCGGTGGAGCACTGGGGCGCGGAGGTCGTCTACGGCGACACGGACAGCCTCTTCGTCTATCTGAAGGGCCGGACGCGGGACCAGGCCTTCACGATCGGCGAGGAGATCGCGCAAGCGGTGACGAAGATCAACCCGCACCCGGTGAAGCTCAAGTTCGAGAAGGTCTACCACCCGTGCGTGCTGCTGGCCAAGAAGCGGTACGTGGGGTTCAAGTACGAGCACCGCGACCAGACGGAGCCCGACTTCGACGCCAAGGGCATCGAGACCGTCCGCCGCGACGGCACGCCCGCCGAGCAGAAGATCGAGGAGAAGGCCCTGAAGCTCCTCTTCCGCACCGCCGACCTCAGCCAGGTGAAGGCCTACTTCCAGGCCCAGTGCGCCAAAATCATGCACGGCCGCGTCTCCGTCCAGGACTTCTGCTTCGCGCGCGAGGTCAAGCTCGGCACCTACAGCGACCGCGGCCTCCCGCCCCCCGGCGCCCTGCTCAGCGCCCGCCGCATGGCCGCCGACCCCCGCGCCGAGCCGCAGTACGGTGAGCGCGTCCCCTACCTTGTAGTCGCCGGCGCCCCCGGCAGCGGCCTCATCGACCGCTGCGTCGCCCCGGAGACCCTCCTCCACGACGCCACCCTTGACCTCGACGCCGACTACTACATCACCAAGAACCTGATCCCCCCGCTCGAACGCATCTTCAAC